TTTTGCCATAGTCTTGTTTTGATACTTTGCCACAGTTTTGTTCACTTTATTTGATACTTTGGTCATAGTCTGGTTAATCTTGATTGGTTACTTTTGCTCATAGTTTTCACAGCCTTGTTTTTGAACAATGTCTGCCGTCCACTCCTTTTCAGTGTTTTTTTGTTGAAATAAACTCCTGGAACCAACCGTCTCCGCACCTGAGTCCTCCCTTAAGATCCACCCTCCCTGACACTCTGTAAAGACTACAGCTGTAACAAACGTATCCAAGTCTTCAAGGGGAACTGGCCCAGGTCCAGACTGAGGAGACTTAATCAGCCTTCTGCGTTTCCCCCCCCTTTTTTTCCTACCCTTCGCTTTCCCCCGGGGCCAGTTTAAACAAAGCACACATCACCGTCAGACTGGGACCCGAACACGAGCAGTAAGCAAAGAGGTGTGTGTGTGTGTGTGTGTGTGTGTGTGTGTGTGTATTAGGGGTGGGACGGTTCACAAAATCCACGGTTCGGTTCGTTTCACGGTTTCGTGGTCACGGTTTTCGGTTCGGTTCGGTATATGGTGATTGTTAGGAAAATCTATTATGTCTTGTATAGTCAGGTTAAAACTAAGAATGGGGATCGTTAATATTTATTGATATCGATACTTTTATCGATACTCCTTATCGATCCGAGTCTTTATCGATACCACTATCGATAATTTTCTGTTATTTGGTGGAAAGACGATGCAACAATATTTAACAAATAATTGTATTTTAAATTAAATGTAATTTTTAATAAATGTTGGCATCAGTAGTTTAATTATATATTCTAAAAATAATTAGAGCAATATACAACTGTATTACTCGTTTCTCGCCAAAAACTCAATTTCCCTTTTCTTTACGTTACACTTGAACGCATCATGATAACCTAATTGTCGTTTTACTGAGCCAATATGAACACATCATCACGCAGCACGTCTGAAACTTTATTTACTTTTCAAGCTAACTAGCTTGTATGCTGCCGATTACAACACAGATTTCACGATTACTATTGTAATTAAAAAAAAACGACCAGACTCGATAGTGGTATCGATAAGCCCAAACGTTATTGATTTTTGGGTTTTGAAAAAAGTGGAACCGGGTCCTTGATAGAACCGGGTTTCGATCCCCATCCCTAGTAAAAACTGAAAGAAAAAAGCAGTCTGACATTTGATCCATTATTGTGACAGTCTTAGGTTAAAAGTAGGTGAGATTATGGCATTGCAAGAGAGGAAACAGTGCTAATTCCAACATGTGCTTCCCTCTAAATGCAAAGTGGTCCATACAGCAGACCTAGAAACTGCTGTTGGCGCGTCAGATTTTTATCGGCTACGCTGCTTCTTCTTCTTCTTGTATCCTACTGGTGTTTGGCTTTGGGTGCAGTAGCGCCCCCTTCTGCTCTGGAGTGAACACGCTTCCCTCTGAGAAAAAGGAGCAGTGCATGAACCGTGCGGTACACACGCGAACCGAACCGAAACAGTCGAACCGAACGGTTCAGACGGTTTTCAGAAACCGTCCCATCCCTAGTGTGTATGTATGTGAGGCCCGGCAGCAGGGGGTTCCAATCTCTGTCCTCCTGCCGACCGGCTCTGAGCAGGGAAGTGGACTGTCCAGCACCTGGAGGGCCTTTTGTTTTTCTTGTTGTCACACCTGTTTGTTTTTTTTTGGTGTTCTGTCTTGTCATTTCCTGTTTTATTTTGATAGGTAACTCTCCTCTGGTTTCAGTTCCCTGTGTGTCACCTGTCTGAGTGCCCCCCCTGGTCCCTGATTGGTTCCCCTTGTGTTAAACAGTCTGTGTTTCTCCTTGTCTGGGACCAGTGGGTTTCGTCTTTTGACTTTACAGTCCTTGACTTTGTTCTGGTCTTGAATCCCTCCTTGCTAATCCTCTTTAATGAGTTTATTTTGCCTTTTGCATCCTCGTTATCAAGCGTCATTATTTTGTACTTTGGCCAGTTTTGTTTCTGCCTCGCAAGAGAGATTCTTATTGTCGTCTTTTCAGAGGGATTGTTATTTTTTACTTTTGCCTTGTCCTCAACCCCCTGCAAGTGTGCCTTTGTTTCCAGTAAAATCCATTTTTATTTTATTTTTTTAACTAAGATCTCTGCAACTGAGTCCTGTTTGAGTCCTAAGTCTGGCACATTCCCCCTATGCAGGGCCCTGCATTTGACACTGCCCCTCTCCTCCCCACCGAAGGCAGTTTGGGACAGATTCAATGCAAATGTCACGTCTGGGGGAATGTCTGGTGTGTCGTCATGTCTTGATTACCTACGTGTACACCTGGGGTTCCCCTCCCTCATGTGTTTAAATAGTCCTCGTTTCCCATGTCCTGTGCCAGTGTGTTTTTGTCCTTGCGAGTTTTTCGTCACCCTTCGCCACGTCAGGTTTGATTTTTGTCACAGCCATGCCATAGCCTAGTTTACTTTATTGCCATAGCCTTGCCACAGCCATGTTAATCTTGTTTGTACTTTGCCATAGCCACGTTTTTTGTCACAGCCATGTTTTTGTCACAGCCATGTTTTTTCACAGCCATGTTAATCTTGCTTTGTTACTTTGTCCATAGTTTTCTCACAGCCATATTTTGAACTTTGCCCGCATCCACTCCGTTTGAGTGCGTCAAACCCGTGTTTCTGAATCTCCGCAACTGAGTCCCACCTCCGTGACAGCAAAACCATCAGGTGGCAGGGAGGGTTAGGGCCCTCCCTGATGTGGTTACTAGTGGATGGGAGAGTGGGAGTTATGAAGCTTCTCATCTATTTAAAAGCACAGACAGAAAACAGGCCTGAAAAGAGCTGCTGTCTGTTGGCAAAGGGCCCTATTTTTATCCCATGATCTGTAAAACAAAAA